ATCTAAAGATTTAGAAAGGCTCCTGTGAGCTGAGCAGAGATGGGCTTTATAGGTATAAAAGAAGCAGAAGCAGGGAACAATAAAAAAAAGTAGATTGATCATCTCAAAGTTACTTTCCTTATAAGATTAAAGAAGAGGGAACTTCCTTACCCTGCTGGCTCAGGTAGACTGGGCCCCTTCTGATTGGTTGGAAAGCTGGCCTGCTTTTAAAGTTTAGTTTGATTACATGATGCCAAGCATGAGTGGCTCCATTCTGGTTTGGTCTGGTCTGCTGGGCCTAGTGCAGGAGCTCAGTTGAAAACAGTGGGCTTTTCTAATTTTTATTTAACACAATTCTGCCTTTATCTTTACTGCTTACATAAATACAGCTTCCTGTAAGCACATGGCCTCCTAGAGTCCTAGGAGTATGTTGGAGATTTTCAAAGCTCACATAGGTATATTATTCTCCAGCTTTTCCTGTCAGCTTTTGGGTTAGTCTTTTGTTTGCCCCAAATATTACACCCACTCAGGCAGCCCTGATGTTAAATAGTTGCCTCGAATTGTTTTTTGACAAATGTATTTGGGGGAAAAGGCTGCTCTGCGTCAGGTCAAGTAACGACAACTGTGAGAGTGGGTCTTCCTGGGAAAACAATGAGCAGATCAAACAATGACAATTCTCTGCGTATGAGGTGCTCTAACTCCCTCCTCACCTCTCCGGTGGCTATTGGGCTGTTGGTTTTCACCAAGATTGTAGGCTTTCATTTTCAAGTTGGCTGTGGAGCTGAGGCATGGGGAGATGGGACTAGGAGAAGTTAAAATGCTACAAAGCTTTCTGCTCTTGCTGATATTCCATAATTTATATTGAATAAACTCTCCCCAGATTGCTGCAAGCTTTGGTTAATTTTCAGAGCTCTGAAAATGTTAGTTAAAACCATTTCTGGGCCAGGCGTGGTGGCTCACACTTGCAATCCAAGCACTTTGGAGGCCAAGGTGGGTGGATCACCTGAGGTTGGGAGTTCAAGACCAGCCTGACCAACATGGTGAAACCCCATCTTTATTAAAAAAAAAAAAAAAACACAAAAAAACCCAAAAAACACTTCTGTCAGTTTTCTCATTGCTTTTATGTAGGAAAAAATTTTCAAAGACATTTTCTTTGCCACGTTCACTGACGTAATTCCAGAGAGGTTTCTTTTTGTTTGTTTTGTTTTGCTTTTTTTTTGAGATGAAGTCTCGCTCTGTCGCCAGGCTGGAGTGCAGTGGTGCGACCTTGGCTCACTGTGACCTCCTCCTCCCAGGTCCAAGTGATTTTACTGCCTCAGCCTCCCGAGTAGCTGGGACTAAAGGGGCACACAACCACACGCAGCTAAGTTTTGTATTTTTAGTAGAGACGTGGTTTCACCATGTTGACCAGGATGGTCTCGATCTCCTAACCTTGTGATCCACCCGCCTCAGCCTCCCAAAGTGCTGGGACCACAGGCGTGAGCCATGGAGCCTGGCCCCAGAGAGTTTTTAAAGTGTGAGTGTTTTCATTCTTTAAATGGCATAACTGTGTTTTGGCTAGCCTGGCTACCTGACAGGGTGTCTTGTAGCCAGGGGAATTCTAGACTAGCTAGTTAGAAATTGAACTTGTCAGGTAGGGGAGGACCCTTCTGTGGGCTATAGGAAGAAGTCCAGGGGAGCAGGGGAAAATTGTGTCCAGAGATGGCCAGGGGATGGGTGTGAGGCGGGAACACAGTTCAGTGCCACGGCCAGAGGGCACCAGGCCCAGCGCAGATGGTCCTAGGTGTGTGTTCCTGTGCTCATCCACCTCCGTTCTTGGGGCCTCAGCTACAGGGGACTCTCAGTGCTGACCCAGTGCCTGCCCAGAGGTGACCCGCAGGTAGCTGATTCCTGGAGCCTTTCCAGCACAAGCAGGCCCCAGTTGCTGGCTTCCTATTTAAAAGGTCCTGCACTTGCATTCAGCACCTCGGTGGACATTCTCAATGCTCATTCAGCTGCTTGCTGGGATTTAATTGCTCATCTGAGCTCAGAGATCTTTTGTGGGTATGGAATACGCTTCCTTTCTTTTTTCTTTTTTTTTTGAGATGGAGTCTTGCTCTTTTGCCCAGGCTGGAGTGCAGTGGTGCAAACTTGGCTCACTGCAAACTCCGCCTCCCGGGTTCAAGTGATTCTCCTGCCTCAGCCTCCCAAGTAGCTGGGACTACAGGCGTGCGTCACCATGCCTGGCTAATTTTTGTATTTTTAGTAGAAATGGGGTTTCACCATGTTGGTCAGGATGGTTTCAATCTCTTGACCTCGTGATCCGCCTGCCTCAGCTTCCCAAAGTGCTGGGATTACAGGCGTGGGCCACTGCGCTGGGCCCTGCTTCCTTTCTTAAATTCTCCCTGAAGACACATGATAGTGTCACACAATAAATCTTGAAATCTGAGCTATGGGACTGTCCTTCTATGATGCCGTGTTGATTGGTGGCAACAGTAGGTAGAGATAGTGGCAGGTCTGGACTTGATGGTGGATGTTTGGCAGGGGTCGGGGAATGGGTAGGTCCCTGGTTTATTACCCTTAGAATCAGAAAGGTTTGAGAAACATGAGCTTGAATCTGCTCATTCTCACAAGGTCAACAGGGTCTCCCAAAGAGCAAGGGACACTGTTTTCTCTAAAGTCTGGGGTGTTTCCAGTCTTTGATTAGAACTTTGGTCTCCCTGTGGCCTTGGGCAAGTCATTCACACAACCCCAAGGCCTCAGTATCTCATCTGTGTTATGAAAGGGTTGGACTAGTCCCTAAAAGCCTCAACAATGAGAGCATATGTATTTTTTATTTGAGGGTTAATGTTCTTCAGCCTGGGTAGCCCTGTTCCTTTTCCTTCTCACAGCCAGTATTTCATAATCTTTTCTTTTCTTCTTCTTTTTGGGGGTGGACAGGGTCTTGCTTTGTCACCCAGGCTGGAGTGCAGTGGCGTGAACATGGCTCACTGCAGCCTCGACCTCCAGGGCTCAAGCAATTCTCCTGCCTCAGTCCCTCAAGTAGTTGGGACTACAGTCACATGTCACCATGCCTGGCTAATTTTTCTATTATTATTATTTCTTTTGTAGAGATGGAATCTCCCTACGTTCCCCAGGCTGATCTCAAACTCCTGAGCTCAAGCGATTTACCTTCTTTGGCTTCCCAAAGTGCTGGGATTACAGGCATGAGCCACTGCGCCTGGCCTCATAAATCTTATCTGCATACACAGACTCAACTTCCTTACCTCCCCTCCTCTCCTCCGTTCCTTAAACTCAGGCTTCTTCCTCCAACAATATGACATCCACCCAGGACAGCAAGAATCTTCTGCTTACCAACAACTCCAGCGACCCCTTCTCTATGCTTACCTTTCTCAAACGCTCAGCACTGAACACTTTGCACCAGTTTTTCATCCTTGTCATTTTTTTTGTCTTCTTCTTACTTAGAGAACTGGAAAGAGGTCAGTATGACTGCATCCAAGGAAGCAAAAGATGGGCAGTAGGTGACTTGTGAACCGTCGGCTTCCTGGATGGCTTCTCTGGGTGTCCCAGGCATGTCTACACAGAGTAGCTGCAGCTATGGGCATACTTTGCCTGCTGGAATCGGTTCCCAGATTCCCAGGTGCCCTCGGCTCCTCAACCTGACACCTGGACACACACCTCACCCACGCCCTCGCTCACACCCTTCCAGATCCATCTCCTCAACATCTCTCAAATCTGCCATTTTCTTCTTCTCTTTCCAACTTTTATTTTAGGTCCAAGGCGTATATGTTATATGGGTAAGCTGTGTGTTGTACAGATAATTGTGTTATCCAGGTAATCAGCATAGTATCCCATAGGCAGTTTTCAATCCTCACGCTCCTCCCACCTTCTACCCTCAGATCAGTCCAGTGCATATTATTTCCTTCTTCATGTCCATGTGTACTTAATGTTTAGCTCCCGCTTGTAAGTGAGAACACGAGATACTTGGTTTTCTGTTCCTGTGTTGGTTCACTTAGAATAATGGCCTCCAGCTGCATCCATGCTGCTGCAAAGGCCATGATCTCATTTTTAATAGCTGTGTGGTATTCTATGGGGTATAGGTACCATACTTGGTTTATCCAGTCCACCATTGACGGGCATCTAGGTTGATTCTATGTCTTTGCTGTTGTGAATAGTGCTGCAGTGAACGTGCATGTGTCTTTTGGTAGAATGATTTATATTCCTTTGGATATATGCCCAGCAGTGGGATTGCCAGGTCGAATGGTAGCTCTGTTTTAAGTTCTTTAAGAAATCTGACTGCTTTCCACTGCTTTCCACAGTGGCTGAGCTAATTTACATTCCCACTAGCAGTGTATAAGCATTCCTTTTTCCTGCAACCTCGTTGGCATCTGCTATTTTTTGACCTTTTAATAATAGCTGTTCTGACATTGTGCTTTTAAAAAATTTGTTTTTTGACAGGGGCTCACTTTGTCACCCAGGCTGGAGTGCAGTGGTGCGATCTTGGCTCACTGCAACCTCTGCCTCCTGGGCTCAAGCGATCCTCACACCTCAGCCTCCTGAGTATCTGGGGCCACAAGCACACGCCACCACGCCCAGCTAATTTTTGTATTTTTAGTAGAGATGGGGTTTCGCTATGTCAGCCAGGCTGGTCTCGAACTCCTGGCCTTAAGTGATCCACCTGCTTTGGCCTCCCAAAGTGCTGGAATTAGACATGAGTCATCACACCCAGCCTTCATTGCAGTTTTAGCTTGCATTTCCCTGTTACAAATCTGCCATTTTCACTCCTGGCGTGGCAAGCTTGTGTGTCATTAACTGTACCTGGAGTGTTACATATACCCTGAACTCCTCATCCCCCCTTTCTAAGGCCACCTGGGCCAGCCTTCTGACATCCACACGCACTTGAACATCTCCATGACCCGATCAAGGCTATTCAGATCTGTAAAGTAGAAGCCGAACTCTGTGCTATGGGCCCAACCACCCAGGCCAGGCTATTTCCAACCCAGGAGCCCTCAAATGATGATGAAGGATGACAAGGCCCCCGATGCGGAAGAAGAGCCATTTTATTAGGTGAGGCACGTGGGATGTTACACACACCTGGTGGGAAAGGAGGGGGAGCAGGTTCCTCGGAGAGAAGGCAACTATGTCATCTTCCAGCTCATAGGCCAGTCATCTGTAAGCCCTGGGGAGCTGGGCAGAGGCAATGGACTGAGCAGCAAGAAATGATTCTGTTGGGGAAGACCCCAATTAAGATGGAGACTCAAGGTCAGTGAGTGTTACTGGTATTGGCTCACCATCAAACTCATGCCCCAAAGGCACAGGAGGAGGCTGAGACCCTGGGCAAGGTATCAGGCCTAGGATCAGGGCTCTGTGTGCATGTGTGTGAGCGAGCGTGTGTCTGTGTACCCACTTGTACTTGTGAGTGGTGAGTCCGCCGCTGTGTGCGTGTGTGTGAGTGTGCTGGCGTGAGAGTGTATACGTCTGTATCAGTGGCTGTGTGTCAGGGTGGTTGCGTGTGTGTTTCTCTTGGGAGCTGTGTTGCTGTACTGCCTGCATCCTTCCACCTCTGCCAGCTTTTCTGTGGGTTTCTCTCTGCAGCCCTGTGTGTGCCTCTGTAGATGCTTGTCTCTTTCTTTGGATATCATTGTCCCAAGCCCCCTGCTGCCTTCTACCAGGAGAAGAAGAGCCAGCCCCCAAAATCCTGGTGAGTGGGAAGCGGCACTCACCAGCTCAGCAGATGCCAGGCCCCTTCCTGGAAAGCTTAGACCTTGATGACAAACCTTAGTCCGTGGGTCAGCATGTCTAGAAAAACAAACAAGAAAACAGACAAGAGTTGTGATCCCAACGTGAAGGACCCCACATTCCTCGAGGTGGGGGACAGGGAATGGAGGCCTCTGGAAATCCACGTGTGTTCAGCATACTTGGAGGAAGCCAGGCCTCCTTCTACCAACCAGCCCAGCTGTCCTCAGTGTCAAGGCTGAGGCAGGAGACAAGGTGTCTATCTCAAAACTATCTGGATAATTCTGGTGGAAAAGGAACCCAAAATGGAAAGAGTTGAGGCCAGAGGGACCTAGCATCCCAGGGCGTGCAGGGAAAAAACTCCTTCGGGGAAGTTGCAGCTCCTGTCCTGGGGGACAGAGGGATTGAAAGTAGGTACTTACTGACAATGTCATGCACCAGGGTGGCGTCCAAGCCACTGAGAACCTCATTGACCAGAGGGCACACCTGGCCGGGCAGAGAGGGGTGTTAGGCACAGTGGTTCCCTGGAGCAGCTGAATCCCCAGAGGGGGTTTTCTGGGGAAATTTCCTGTCATTTTTCTGTGTGAAAGTGATTCTCAGCAGTTCCACAGACCAATGACCACACAAGCACAGGCAGAAGGAGAAACTGGAGGCATGAGGGATGTTATGAAGGCCCCAAATCACACAACAAGCCCCGCGTTCCCTCTGTGACATCACATCTGATTCTGAATAGAATAGAGGGCTCTGGTTATAGAAGACACCCAAGTGTAGGCTGGAAGACTGCCCGTGGTCATAGAAGGCTGGACAGGGAACTTCTCAACTTCTCAGAACAGGGGCCAATCCATTTCAGCTTCAGTGTGGACAGGCAGGGCCTGCCTAGAGCAGAGACTCATCGATGCATTTGGAAGGATGTATCAATGGACAAATAGATTGATGAATGGAAGTTACTTATCAAATCCGGGGACTCAGACCTACTCAGACCAGGGCTTTCTTTTGGTGTGAGAGCTCTCAAATCCAAGGATCAGAGGATGCCCACCTTGCCCACTTACCTTGCCCTGAACCAGTTCAGGCAGGACGTTATTCAAGATCCCTGTGAGGCTGTCCAGAGGACTTTGAATGGGGAGGGGGCCAAGTCTGAAAGAGAAAAGTCATGGGCCTGGAGTTGGTGCGGAGAAGGCTCCAGAGGGGCCAATGTGAACCCTACAGTCTCAACATTCAGTCACTGAAGCCGAGCCTTGTCCATCTACACCTGCGGGCAGGCCGACAGCAAGGGTCCCATTGAAAGGGAGTTATGTTTGTGTACAGCAGTGCACACACAGGTCTGTGTAGAATAAACACATGGTTCTCAGAAAAAGCAGGTGTCAGTAAGGCTTTGCAGAGTCCATAAATGAATGAATACTACTTAGTATGTAGTTGTCATGAGGATCCAATGAGATGACACATGTGAAGCTTAATGTGTGTGTTCATTAAAAGTTAACCACGTGGGCAAGTTTTGCGCAATAGTTATGACATAGTCTCCCCATGTGACAGGTAATAAGTAACTGAAATAAGTAACCTAGTTAGGATCCATGTCTATTTTACCCCTTACTGGGAAAAGCACTTTCACATCTATTATTTTGGTAGATTCTATCAATAACCACAATGCAGTTCCATATTGCAGCTAAGTAAGCTTAGACCTAAACTGGAGAAGCACTACCCAGGTTCACACAGGAAGCCCTCTATCCCCATTCCCTTATAATACGCAGTGTTTAAACTCCAATTTCTTGTTGCTAGATCCAGCATAAAATTAGTTAGCTTGGTCTAAGAAGGGATAGGATAAGTGACTATCTATCTATCTATCTATCTATCCATCCATCCATCTGTTCATTCTTCTTTCCATCCACTCAACCATCTAACCATCTGTCAGTTCATCCATCCATCCACTTGTCCATCCATCCATTCATCCATCCATCCATCCATCCATCTATCCATCCATCCATCCATCCTTTTCACCCTCCCTCCCTCCTATCCATCTTCCACCCTTTCTGCCTCTCACTCATCTATTCCATCATTGTCCCATCTTTCCAACCATCCATCCATCATCACATCCTGTTATCTCTGGGCAGGAGAAGCTGCTCCTCTGGCCTCACCCATCAAGCAGAGAGATTTGCAGGCTTCCAGGGGAATGGGTGCAGTCACCAAGGACCAGGTGGATCCTCTCCTGCTTATCTCTCACGGCTAAGATTTCTGCAGTGATGTTCAGCTTCACAGCCAGCCTCAACAGATTGGCACCAACCAGGGGCCTGCAAAGGAGACAGCCCCACTGGTATCTGGCTCCACCACGTTCCAAGGAAGAATATTATTTTCTCCTTGCCAAGAATGCCAGCCTCACCTCACTCCATCTTGCCCACAGCTGTACTTATGTCATTTTCTATCAGCAGAAACAAAGGCTCAAGAGGTCAACTGAGTTTCCCAGTGACCCAAGGTCATTCAGCATAGCAGCAAATGAGCTGAAGCTGGAGGCTCAGGTCTGTTAGACTCCAATACCCCCGTTATGGCTACCCATGGTCACCAGGGTCTTCCTTTGTGAGCCATCCTCCCATGCCCTCTTGGGACCCACTCACGTATTCACTTGGAGGTTGATGCCGAGAGGGATGGTGACATAGAGACGGTGGCCATCAGGGCTCTGCACAAGGCCAAGTTCCAGCAGCTGGGGGTCAGTGACCTTCATACTGTCCAGGGAGTAATGTTGGAGGGGGAAACATTAGCTCCTCTAGCTCCAAACCCAGAAACCATCTTTAACCCAACAGTACCCCTCCCAGAGGTAGAGCTCCCCACCCAGGATAGGGAGACAGGAGGGGAGTCTTGTGGCCCAGCCACATGGGTTCTGAGTCACACACCAGTCTTTTCCCACCCATTCCGTGGAACAGATCTGACACACACATGGCCCTTTCCTCATCTCCAGTCTATGAGTTATTCAGGACAGCAACCGTGTCTGGAATATATTTATGTCCTGTATGCCAGCTCAGAGCCTTACAAAGAAAGTGGCTACTTCATATGATTTGGCTGTGGATTAATGGGAAGGTGGGAAGTGGATGTGTGGGTAGATGGATGGAAGAGTGATTAGGTAGAAGGGTGGATGACTGGATGGATGCATTGGTCAGTGGATGAATAGAAGATGTGGGTGCAACTGGAGTGAATATGCACAAACATTTACGGGTAGGAATCACCCAACTTGTCAGGTGGCTGATCACCAATGTTTATCCTGGGGGTTGAGGAGCAGGGAGTCAGGGAGCATGCAGAAAGTGTGGGAGAAAGCCGTTCTCCCATTGTCCTATCTTCCCAACTATCCATTCATCATCACACTCTGTTGTCTCCAGGAGAAGCCAGCCCTCTGGCCTCACCCATCGAGCAGGAGGCTATTTGATGGGTGAGGCCATTCACTGAGCCAACCACTGTGCCATGTGATTCACACCTTTTCCAGTCCTCCCAGTAGACTTCTCTGTGGGTTCTATCGACTCTATTTTATAGATGGAGAAACCAAGCACAGAGAGACAGAGTGTCTTGTCCCAGGTCATCCAACAAGTACATTTGAAAATCAAAGTCAAGAAGTCTGTTTATCTGTCTCCAAGTCAGGGAGCAAGACCCTGGGTGGGTAGGATCTTAGAAATGGCTTTGATGCAATCCTATCCAGGACCCAGGCTCTCCCAGCTCACTGGCATCAAGCTTTCATTCTTGCTTTTTGCTTTGAGAGCTCTTGGATGTCTCACGGGAAACACCATGTTAGACCTTTCCGTGGACATCACACTGTTCTTCATCACACTGATATCATCAAGGTGGAAAGGTTACACTCTTGCTTACATCAAAGGACATCTGTGTTTTATGGGATTTCACAGGTGGGGAGAAAAATATGACCACAGTGTAGTGGGAAGAGCCTTGGCTTTGACTTAGGTAGGTAGAGTGAGAGCCTCACTCACTTGGCATCACTCTAGCAGTATGAACACAGGCATCTCTGTGCCTTGTTTTCCCATTTGCAAACTGGAGATGATTAAATTGACCTCAAAGGGTTGTCTTGAGGATTACCGAAGATGCTGGGGCCTCAGGACGTGCCTAGAACTGAGGGCATTGCTGGTTTGGGGAGGAATTGTGTCCCTGCCAGACTGGAGATGGTCTCAGAACTGAACCCTGGTTCCAGCTTCAGGCCACCCCCTCACTGCTTCAAGGCCACTGCCTGGGGCTGGCGGGTTCCCTGGCAGAAACCAAAGCTCTATTTTAGAACAACTCACTCAATGATGTTCAGGCCAGGGATCACTGACATCACTTTTCCAAGCAGTCCCCCAAGGAGGCCGCCGGAAGTGCCTCCTCCAGGCTTCAGGATGTCCAGGAGCGGAAGGTTTTCCAGAATTCCCAACAGGCCCCCAGAGAGCAGGCCATTGCTGAGGGCTGGAGATGGGCATAAGGGTCTCTGGGGGTCAGATCTGACAATTCTAGACCCTCAGGCTCCCTCCCCTATCCAGCCCTGTCCCTCCCATCTTTGCAGGGTTAGACACACACACACACACACACACACACACACACACACACACACACACACATACACACACACCCCTACCTGAAAGAGGTTGTCACAGACTCACCATTTGTCAAGATTCCTGCGAGACCTGTGGGACTCAAGGGCAGGGCTGGATTTACATTCAAGGGCAGGGCCTGGTCCAGGGGTATGGGCAGGACTCCAAACTGGGCCATGGTCTGGGCTAACAGTCCATAGAAGACAAGGAGGCCCCCAGTTTGAAACATCTTTGCTCTTGGTATCTGTGGGCAGAATGACAAGTCCAACATGGCATGGATATCAGAGAGGAATTTATCCACCACCTACCCCTGCCACCCGGGGGGGGGGCGGTTGTCATTCGTTTGCTCGCCAGAACACTAGGGGGTGACCAGTCATAGCTAACACTGCTGAACAATTTCTCCTTGCCAGGAAACAGGCTGACTGCTTTACACAATTTCATCTTCATCACAACCCTAAGACAGGGGCACCTGTTACCTCCATTGCACAGGTGAGGACCGCTGGTCAGGGGTCTACAAAAGAGACAGCCCCACTGGTATCTGGGTCCACCACATTCCAAGGAAGAGGGTTTTTTTCTCCTTGCCAAGAATGCCAGTCTCACCTCACTCCATCTTGCCCACAGGTCACTTGTCTCATTTTCCAGTAAGAGAAGCCAAGGCTCACAGATATCAAGTGAATTTGCAGCTGGAAGTTTCAAATGTACTCCCATCCCCTCTTGAAACCCACTTATGTACTATTGAGTGTGGGTAACTTTCCCCAAGTTCACAAGTACACAGTGGAGAGAGGATTAGAAGCTAGAGCCATGTGAACGCTCTGTTGAATTAAGTAACCATCAGATTTATTCTCCAATTGGACTTGCCTGAATGGTTTGAATCATTGCTGCTCTTCAGACAAAGCAAATGAGAAAGGTTAAACATGCAAGTGCTGACGAGCTGAGCTGTTTTGCAGCATCTCTGTTCAGTCCTTTGGCCTGAGCTCAGGCCATGATGGTTTGTGGATGCCCTTGAAAGTCACACAATATAGGGGTCGCATGGCCACAGCCACCATCTCAGGCAGACCTGTGTTGGGGAATTCCTGGGGCCATCCAAAGTCTTCATTGCATGCAAAGAACCAGGGGACCAGAGAGGGGTAGTGACTTTCCCAAGATCATATGATGAATTGATGGCAGAGCTGTGGTTGAAGGCAGGTCTCCCTGCAACCCTCCATGATAGACATGCATTCTATCGTTTTGACACCATTCTCTTCTCCTTGAAGCTGCCCTGGATGGAATTCTGGGCAGTCCCTGAGGTCTGGCTCGAAGACCTGTCACAGGTCTATTTGGCAGCCAGCAAAGTTGTCCAGAGCTAGGGCTAGGACCTACACTTTGGAGACAACTGATGGCTTTGTGCTAAATTCCATCTTTTGGCTGACTCAGCTAAAGCTCCATCCTTGTGGTGGAAGGCTGGATATGAAAGGTCTTTTGGTCCAAAGAGCCAGATGTGCCCGTCTTAGGGAGGTAACTTTGACCAGGGCCTCTGAATCTCTTTTGCACAACAGATCCTTTATGAATCCAATAGAAGCTGAAGAGCCTAGTCTCAGAAAAATGCATCAAAGTGTATAAAATTGGGTAAAGAATTTTAGGAGGTTTCTGAATCACCTGTATCCACATTGGTAACCCCAAGTTAAACCTTTTGCCTTAAGGGCTTTGATTTAGGGCATGAATAGTGCTCATTTCTGTATCAATGCTACTGGTCTCTTAGGACAGCAGAGTGAATAGCCATCCCCACATCCCTGACATTGGCTGGGTCTGTTTCTCTCGCACAGCCCCCAGGGAGTGATCTTGAGTACAGTCTGCCTGCCCCACAGGGAGGAGCCTGAGATCCCTGCCGTCAAGGATAGCAGTGGGGCCAAAGAATGGATGGATCTTACCTGGACTTCTTAGAGGTCTCAGCAGCTGTTCCGGTCTCCTTTCTCTCCCCGACTCTCTTCTGCTGAGGAGGCAGCCCCTTTTATAGTGTGGGGACCAGGAAGCGTGTGATTGGGTGATGGGCTTCGAGATAATCGAGAATTCTGCAATCCGGTGGTGTCTTTCAGGGCTCTCCAAAGTAAATAATTGCCAATCACATTAGCAGGTGGGACAGTTAAGCTATTTGGTCGACAAGACAAACAGAGAAAAACCTGAGATGGGATGTTACTCAAGACTTTATGGTTTGCTGAGCGGAGCCAAAGTTGGGGACCCACACTCCCAAGGTAGCTCGGAGCATTGAGAGGAGCAGCCAATCAAAGCCCAGGAAGGGACCTCGGTCTCATCTCTTGTTCCCTTTCCTCTCCTGGTCTTATTATTATTATTATTATTTTTTTTTTTGGCTCCAGTGGGAGGATTCTTTCTCCTAAAGTGTCAAAAGAGTCACACTGCATTCTACAACTGGGCTGTGTCTCAATTCCAGGGCATGGGTCTCCTGTTCCAGAGCCTCTACTGCAGGTCAGGAGCTCTCCGTCCTCACGAGAACCCCAGGAGGGAGAAGTTACTGCTCCTCTTTTACAGAGGAGGACACCGAGACCCAGTGGAGACAAGTGCCCAAAGACCCAGAGAGGATGCAGCAGAGTTAGAATGCAACTCACTGGAGAACGAAAGCAACAAAAACAAGGCTAACGGCACACACTTGCCGAGCTCCTGCTGTACACCTGGCCTGCTGTGGCGTTCGCATGCAGCATCTCACAAAATCCTCCCAGCCCCAAGTGAGGCGGGAATGAGTACTCCTGTTCTGCAAGTGGGAAACTGAGGCTGAGTGTGAGGCGAGCTGTCCAGAGATGGACTGCTGTCCTGGGGTGACATCCACACTCGGGTCATTTCCCCGAGTCACTGCACTGAGAGGCGGAGGTGCCTCTCCACACTTGCCGGCAGTTTTGATTTCCCCACCTGTGAACTTCATGTTTTCATGCTTCCCTTTTTATTTTTTAAATTTACATTTAATTTTTATTTTATGTTTTTTGAGATGGAGTCTTGCTCTGCCACCCAGGCTGGAGTGCAGTGGTGCGAGCTCTGCTCACTACAACCTCTGCCTCCTGGGTTCAAGTGATTCTCTTGCCTCAACCTCCTGAGTAGCTGGAACTACAGGTGAGTGACACCACGCCCGGTAAAGTTTTTGTATTTTTAGTAGAGACAGGGTTTCAACATGTCGGCCAGGCTGGTCTTGAACTTCTGACCTCTGCCTTGGCCTCCCAAAGTGCTGGGATTGCAGGCATAAGCTACTGCGCCTGGCCACTTCCCTTTTTATATCCTGGAAAAGTCTCTCCAGGTTCCCAGGCCTGAGGGATCGTGTGGCATCCTGATCTCTAGCCTACCCTTTCTTCTTCCCTTCCCTAAATGGAGTAATCAGCACTTCTCCCCACCACTGGGGCCTTTGGAGTCTGTTTAGCAGATGAAAAAATGAAGACACAGGAGGGCCAAGGTCCTGGACCAGTGAGCACAGCTCTTACCCTGCAAAACCTAACACCTTATAAGCAAAAGTGGAGAGAGAAGGAAGAAATGTGCATTTATTAAGCACTGACTGCATGCCAGGTGCTCTCCATATTTGAACCCCATCTTCTTCAGTAGTATTGGTATTGTTGCCTCTCATATGCTGGTATTGGTATATGGTATTGTTGTCTCTCATATGTTGGATGAGGAGACTCAGGATTAGAAAGGGTGACTGCTTCCTGGGGACACACAATGAGTGAGTGTTGGAGTCAGTTGACCCCGCCACCCTCCATGTCTCTCTAAGTCCCTGGTAATCAGTGGGCCACACTGCCTCCCTCACACTAGGCCTTTGCCAGCCTGCTCCACTGCTCTCCAGAGTCTGGGTGGTGCCTCCAAGGGTTTGGGGCCGTGGCTTTGAACTTAGTTATCCATTCAAGGTCCTTGCTGGATTCTGCCCATGTCTTGTACATGGCAGTCATCCTCACAGTGGTTCCATCATATAACTCTTGTGGGTTGGGTCAGGTTGCTACTATCCTTGTGGGGAAACTGAGGCAGACAAAGCAAGGAAGTAGTTGAGTTTGTGCAGCCAGTTAGTGAAAGCTTATACCCTCTGGTTTGAGGTCAGGAGGCTGTGTCTGAATTGCATCAGGAAGCAGGTGAATTTGGGCTCAAACAGCCCTGGTTCAAATCCTCCAACCCTGGGCAGGTCACTTCAGTCCCCTGGACTTCAGTTTCCTTATCTGTAAAATGGGGAGAATAAAATCTGCCTCACAGTTCGCAAACTCGGACATTCACACAGCTCTCTGATTTATCTGTACTTTACCATTTCAAACGCCATTTTGCTCAGTAATGGAAATGTCCCCATTTCCCCCTGGGGTTTCATGTCTGCGCCGAGGGCTTCGTTTGTGCCAAGGAGGCTGCCTGTCCCTGTTTTCGGCTGACAATACAGAGACAGCCACGTGCCATCTGCCCCTAGATTGCAGAGACACCATAATTCCCTCCTGGTGAAAGTTCCCTTTGGATTTAGCATTTACTTTCAACTCCTTTGTAAGACACAGAATCATTCTGCTGTTCACCAGTTCCTCGGGCCTGACCCAGGACTGTGGGGGACTGCCCAAGCCCACCTGCCTGGATCCACCTACACCCTCCTGTGACCCCTCTCTCCCTGGGGTCTCATCCCTCTCCCGGCTCTGGGAGGGAGCGTGGACATGGACACCCTCTGTCCCTGGATCCCATACACGTGCCTGGGCTTCTGTTCCCCTCCTTCCATGGCCAGGTCTTCCTGGAAGCAGCAAGGGCCTGAGGCACCAACAGAACCCACCAGAACTACGCTCCTTCCAGTTCTCCTGGACGCTCACACTTCAGCAACCCAACAAAGCACATTTTCTGGTCTTGCTTCAACACATTATGTGTGTGCTATTCTCAGACTCTCCTATGCCCTGAGTTTAACAAGTCAAAAGCCAAGATTATAAAAACAAAAAAATTACAGTAAAATTGACATCTTCTTTTGTTGTTATGGTCCTTTGAGTCTTAACACAGGTATACTCAGCCACCATCATAATCAGGGTACAGAAAAGTTCCATCCTCCCAAAAAGCACTCTCATGGGTCCCCTGCAGTCACACCCTGCCCCCACCTGCTGGCAACCACCTGGTTTTGTTCTCTGTCACCCCCACTTTATCAAAAACCCAAGCTCTTGAAACTCAAGAGCCTCTTTTCTCCTTCTGTGGAAACCGTCTTTCCTTGAGGCCACAGGGACTGCAGGCTCCATGCCCTGAAGAGGGGAAGGGTCTCAGGGCACCTGGAAACAGGTGGAAGGACACACCACGAACATTTTAAGAGGTTTTCCCACACTGGTGACGTCAATGCCCTCTCCATGTGTTTCTCAGAAACCCTAGGTGGTTCCTTTCCTTCCCGCTTCTCAGGTTGCAACTGTGTTTGAAGCCTTTGCTCAGGTTGTTTTGTCAATCAAGAGATCATTTCTGGCCAGGCGCGGTGGCTCACACCTGGAATCCCAGCACTTTAGGAGGCCAAGGCGGGTGAACCATTTGAGGTCAGGAGTTCAAGAACAGCCTGGCCAACATGGTGAAAACCTGTCTCTACTAAAAATACAATAATTAGCTCAGTGGTAGTGGCTTGCACCTGTAATCTCAGCTACTCGGGAGGCCAAGGCAGGAGAATTGCGTAAGCCTGGGAGGTGGAGGTTGCAGTGAGCCAAGATTGTGCCCCTGTACTCCAGTCTGGGTGACAGAGTAAGACCTTGTCTCAAAA